CAACATCACAAATAATATGCTTGAACATCCCCACCTTGCAGTAGGGATGAAAGAAATTATTTTTGCAATGAAAGCTTACTCCCATGGATATTTGAAAAAGATGTCAGCATTTAAGTTAATCAATACCTGCTTCCAGTGGGCTTTACTTTGAGAAGTGATGCCTCTTTCTGGAGAGAAGGGATAATTTTTTATACTGACATTCCATTCCATTTACTGCAAGATGTAAATGAATGCCTCCATTAAATGAATTCCATGGTCAGTTAATATCCAAAGAAGTCTTTTCTCTATTGTGTATTCTTACCCACCATAGGAACAGTTAGATCCTAAAAATAAATCTAAAATATTATAACCTAGGGCACCATTTTCAAACTGCGAATGCCCAGTTGTTCCAAGGCTGTGACTTATATAATTCTTTGTTTCTATAGATTACAGACTAAGGATATAAAAAGGGAGGACCAAGTTACAGGACTGAATGAGACAGAAGAGGAATTTGGTTATATTACCTGGATATTCTAGCTCTTTCACATATTTAAATTTCAGTGATCATTTGTAACTTGTAATTTATGTATGACAAAATACAAGGTAAAAGGTAGAGATGGGGCACCTGAGTGGCTCAGTCAGTTGAGCGTCTGACTTCGGCTCAGGTCATGATCTTGTGGTTCGTGAGTTCCAGCCCCACATCGGGCTCACTGCTATCAGGCAGTCACTGTTGAGCCCGCTTTGGGTCCTCTGTCCCCCTCTCTCTGCCCCTCCCCTGGTTGTGCTCTCCCCAAAATAAATAAGTGTTTTTTTAAAAAAAAGTAGACTTAAAGCATTGCATGGTATAGTGGAAAGAGTTCCGGTCTCTGGTTCTCTCCCTCCCCCTTGCTGTATAACCTCAGATAAATTACTTCAGTAACTTTCTGCCCTGGGCCATAACTTCTCATGTGGTTTTCTTATCTGAAAATGACAGTTATCTGTGATAACTTGAAAAATAAATCTAATAGAGGTCACCAGTCTGAAGGGTTAAAAACTTCAGGGGTGGATATGTGACCTGAGTCCTCTAGGCTCACTGTTTAAAGATCTTATTTTACCTCTACACACAGCCTTAGAGTTGAATAAAATGTGAAGAAGCTAACTAGCTATTCTATTTCATGAGACTCTATTGAACTTTTCACTGATTTGTTTTTTATTATAAAATTAATACATGCTTATTGCAGATGCTTTCAACAGCTCAGAATGGTATACAGAAAAAAGTACTTCCCTTTACTGCTGCTTTCTCTCTATCACACACACCCATACGACTTCTCGTTTCCACTCCCCAGAGATCATTATAAACAGTTTCTTTTAAAATAAAATACTGTGAAAATGGAAAACGCTGTAAGACAATTTATGGATTTAAAAAAATACATTAAAAAAATCTCAAATTATTTCATGCCAGTCAGGATTGGTGAAATCTCAAATTCCCTCGGAACAACAGAATGACCAATTGCTGGGTAAGGCAACTGAAATAATAATCCTGTAAACAAATCATCCAAAGTGTATGGCTAGAGACAGCCCACAGCAAAGATGGAATAAAGCCTTCAAGGAACACCACCTCCTCCTCATGGTTAACAACTTGATGACGTTCTTCAACATGTTTTAATGATTATCATACCTTCCCCTTCACAAAGGATTGATTTATTATGGTTTAAATTTAAAGAATACTGGTTTTCCAGTTTTGAATCAGGCTTAGATTACAGAACACATAAAATCAATGACTTTGTTCTAGACAAGAAAAGACCACAGTGTTCATTTAAATGAAAAAGGAACAGTCCTGGGGAAACATTCTTCATGGGGTTCTACGTGCTGTTTCCACCACCCGCTTCACCACCTCTCTCCTTCCCTGATTGCTGTCATCAGCACCACCACACCTAACATTTCCATGGCTCCTTAAAATTCACAAACAACTTCACATATCACTTATCTTAATCATCAAATAATGTCGGGTAGAAAGAACCATCTTAGCTTTTCAATACACAATAAAATACACACACACACACACACACACACACACACACACACACACACACACAAATAAAAAACCTGAAGCTCAGAGCAGCAAGGTGATTGGCTCAAGATCTTTCACCCAGTAAAGGGACACTTGCCCAGGTTTATGACGACTCCAATGTGTGTATCTCCAACTCAGATCTCCCCTCTGCATCTCCAGGACCCACATCCAATCTCCGACTCAACATCTGCACTTTCGTTCTGAGGGTAGTTAAATTCAGTTTCCAGGCTGAGCCCATGATATTCTCCCATTAACTTGCTTCTCTTTCAGTGGTTTTCTTTCTCAGTAAATGGCACCATCATCCTTTCAGTTGCTTAAGCCAAAAACTTAGGCTTCATCTCTATCCACCACCCCTTTTCTCAACATGCATACATGGACTCCATTAGATTTTGCCTTCTGAAGATGTCTCAAAAATGTCCATTTCTCCTTGTCTCCACCATGAACAACACAGCCCAAGGCCCCAGCATCTCACTTTGAAATCATTTTCATGTTATACCCTGCACTTCCCTCACCACCTCCACTCCATGCATTCTCCACTTGGTAGCCACCGTGATTCGGTAATTCCTCTACTTAAAATCTTTGGTTGGCTTCCTAATGCTCTTCAGATAAAGGGAAGAATCCCTAGTGTGGCCTATAAGAGCCGGTATGATCTGACTGCTGCAAACTGGCAAGACAAATGAGTGCTTTCCATAGTTTCAAGATACCATGCTGTATTTTTAAATAATGAGTATTTGTTCTGTGTTTATAAAATGCATAATATTTAATAACATAAGTGCATTAATTGTAGAGTGACATTCACACTTGTGGATTTTAAAGCATTAAGATATGACCACATATAAATCTTCGTGAATTCTTTCTTAAATATAACCAAATTCATTTTACAATACTCTATGAATTAAAATACATGCCCAAATATGTGTAATAAAATATATAATAATCATATAATTTATTTCGTTGTGTGTGATTTCTATCTGTTTCAAGCCTTTGGATAGCTGGAGAGATGGACATGTCTCCCATGTTGTATGGATTACTCATCTCAGAGTCTACACATAGTTACAGTTACCCAGGGCCTACACATAGAAGAGCTTGGTTTCACTGCCTTACTATTTGGTCTTGAAATTCTTAATAATTTTTGAACAAGGGTCCTATATTTTCATTTTGTCCAAGGAACCACAAGTTGTTTAGTCCATTCCTGCTAAAAAGAACCTCAATGTATTAAGAGTTGAACTCTCTTCTATCATTCAAGACCAAAGTATTTATTGCATTCTATTTCTGGATTTCTTCACAGAAGGAGGACTCTGAGGACCACTGGAGTCAGAATTGTCAATCAATGGGGGAAGGGTGTTTATATACTGTGGTCAATCACAGACTTCAGGCCAACAAAACATAAGCTTCTACTCAACAAATGAGGTTTCCAGGGGTGCCTGGGTGGCTCAGTTGGTTAAGCGTCTGACTTTGGAACTCAGGTCATGATCTCGTGGTGCATGGGTTCAAGCCCTGTGTCAGGCTCTGTGCTGATAGCTCAGAGCCTGGAGTCCGTTTTGGATTCTGTCTCCCTCTCTCTCTGTTCCTCCTCTGCTCATGCTCTGTGTGTGTTTCTCTCTCAAAAATAAATAAACACTGAAAAACGTCTAAATACATAAATACATACATACATACATACATACATACATACATACATACATACATA